GAGGTGTCGTCTTCTCCTCGTCATCCTTCTCATCCGAATGCTTTCTGATATCGTGGGAAAGAGGACGTGAGATGCACAGGTTTTATTTCGCGCAAATTCTAATATGTTCATAGTTCCTCCTGCTTCAACCTCGGCACTGCCTTATGACACGACCACTAAACCTCTACTCTGCAGTCAAATTCTCTTTTCGCTCATATGATGTTCTCGTTCATAAGTGGCCTATCTCTTCCTCTTTATCCTTACTCCTCTTCTTCATCGTTCCTCCTCTCCTTTTTCATTCCTCTTCTTTATCCTTCCTCCTTCTCACCCTCCCACTTACTTGTTAGTCTTGACAGGGGCACTGTGTTCCGCCTTGATTTTGCTTGCCACCGCTCCTCCTTTGACGACTGGGATAATTCCCGCCTAAAATTGACATGGCAGGATGTTGGAGGAATGCCAACAAGTAAAGCGTAGGGTACTTCAGTTTGCTACGTTGTCAGATTCCAATATTCGTCAACCCTTATCACGTACCGCGGCTAGCGCGCTTTTCAGCACAAAATCCGCCCGACTCCATTTGTTGTAGAATCGTTCTGCCATCATGCGTGTCGTCTGAATGGTGCCTTTGCGAACAGTGCCGCCCATGGTAGCGCTAAGAGGAGACTTGCATAGAGGTGCGAAGGCAAATGCAGTGCTAACCGAGTGGCAAAGCACAGCTAAATACAGGCATACTGAGAAATGGCGAAATAGGCCTGTCATGCTCCGTCTTATGTGAGATAAGTCCACATGGAGACGTAGGTGTGAGGCATTGCTTCCATTGCACAGGATTTCAAAGCATCTTCGGGCTTCGACACAGCTTTTGACGCGCCTTTTGACGTCAAATCCGCTTGCTCGCGCCCATCCACATCACTTGCCTCTTTCAATCCTTACAGCGCACCGCACGACATGCACAGGGTTTCCAGGTTCATAAGCACGTATACTACATAGCATATATGTCATGACTGTGGAGCAGGTTGATGTGCACAATGTGGAAAACAACCGCTACATCATTATCGGAGCCGGTCCCGTGGGACTGTTAGCAGCCATTCTTCTCGTTCAAGAAAAGCATGCAGCTCAGGTAACATCGTGGGAAACCGAGACGACGTAGCATTGGATGACGTTTGTTACAACATAGAAGAGGATAGCGTTCTGTCGGTGTCCTGCTTTGCTGTCGTTGCCTCGCCGAACGGGCGTCTAATATGGCCCGCCATGCAACTTGTGCACGCAGCGCCCCTGATGTCCTCGTTTCCTCGTGACTCTTCCATACCAAATACCTAACAGGTATCCATTTATGAGGCTCGAGATGGCCTAACGACTGACCTTCATGAGAGCTATCCCATTGGCGTAAATCCTCGAGGATCCCGTGCCTTGGACCGCGCCCGACCTGATATGGCGATTGCATTGCGCATGCGCTCCTCGATGATTGACGCTTGGAGGATATATGCGGGCAGCCGAATGGTGGCGGAGGTACCATCAGGCTTGGTGGTGGGAACGACGCGGAGCACGATCAATGAAATTTTGTATGAAGAAGTCTGCAAGCATTTTCAAGAACAGATTAAGATCCTCTGGAGCCATCGTCTGAAAACTTTGGACATCCTGGAACGAAGCTTGATATTCGATGTAAAGCGCCCACGGGCCGACGAAGAGCTAGCACAGACATATGAAGAAGTGACTGTGCAGGGTGGAGGGGCGCGGGTACTGGCTTGCGATGGAGTCTGGAGCGTGGTCCGTGGCTTCGCGGAGAAGCACGTGGAGGGTTTTACCAGTAATGTCTCACCATGGAGGGTCCAGTTCCGTCTCCTGTTTTCCAAGCCTGGAGCGGGTAAGCTGGTCCCGGAATTAGAGCCCCGGTACCATTACGTGATGGGCGGTATTTACCTCTCCATCATCGAGGAGGACGTCTGGGTCTTGGGCTTGGGCATTGGCGAGCATCTCCCACGCCAGACGAGAGAGCTCCTGACAGCCACGGTCGCCACACCGGAAAGAATCGCAGCCTTGCGGGCGTATGTAACAAAGAAGGCACCATTGGCTGCCCCATTCCTGACCGCAGAGGATTTGGAATTATATTTTACCAGGAAGACGTTCGGAGGGGCAATGGTTAAAGTCAGCCAGCTGAACATAGGGGAATGGGCGGTCCTTCTCGGGGGTAAGCCTCTATGAATTCTGCCGTTTTAGCTTCGGAGAGACTTCACTAAAAGAGATTTGTGTGCAAAGGGGAGGGATGTGTTTCAATTGTGATTGGGTGCGGGCGGTGTTCTATTGAAAGGGGATGTGCGTTTTTCTCACACATCTTGCCTCCCTCGTTCATCTCTTTTACATTGTATCAGATGCGGCGCATTCTGTCATCCCACCTACGGGCGAAGGCTTCAACTCCGGCGCCGAAGACGTGGAGATATTAATGGAAGCTTTGCGCCTTACTCCGGCACAGCCCTTTAGAGCTTTCAACGAAATGCGTTTGCCGGATTTACATGCGTTGCACAACCTCGCTGTCGATGCGAACGAGAGCAATTTTGGCAAATTTGGACCCGAGAAAGTGAGTCGGTTGCTTGCCACTGTCCTGGTCGCTCTCGCGAAAAGGGTTGGAATCTTCTCGCACACCTGGGAAGATTTAAGTTTTGGTGCGGACGCGTCCCCGCCTAAAACATACATAGAGATTGCAAGTGTCTGGAGATGGCAGCGCATCTTTATCCTGCCTTTGTCCAGATTAGCCATTTGGCCCATATTCTTGCTCGTTTGGTTGCTCCTCTCGCCTTTCCGTGCCATTTTCTGGGTGGTTAGGAGGCCGTATCGCAAAGTTGAGAGGGAAGAGGGTAGCAAAAGTAGCTTCGGAGGACGATCGAAAGCAAAGCGGATATAATAACTAAAAGTATGTTTCTCAAAATAACGCATGTAAAGAAAACCATTTTACGTTGTTGGCATGATGTCTATGCTTTTTTGCTTCCCCGTTTCATATATTTAATATTCACTCTATTCTAGGCTATGTCCGTAGGTGGGCGACGGGCTGAGGTGGTTTCTCATACAAAATGATTGAGTGATTTTTGGAAAACCCGAGAGCCTCCTGCCACATTTCCGACATATTTATTTGCAATGTGGCTACTATTTGAATTTACCCCCCATCTATACTTTTCAGTCTGATCTTTGTTACTCATCAAAATGAGGTTCCCTTTCTTGAGGTAATTATCATATTCGTTTAGCTTCTTTTCTAGCATAGTGTTAGGCAGGATGCAACGAATAAGCATCAAACACTCCCATCATAAACCTGGTGCCAGCCCGCCACAGTCTTTTATGGACAGCCTTCATGGAATATTATTTTGCTTTAAGGTTTGAAAAATTTGGCAGGACTTACCATCAGTAGGTGCTCGACGCCAAGACAAAGAGTTAAAGTAATCAAAAAGAAGGGGGGGACGTCTTTCTCTATATTCAGATAACGGCCTCGGAGCGTGCACAAAATCGAATTAGACAAGCTTTACAGCGTAAGTGAGCGATGCTATGTCGAAATTATGATGTATGATACAAGCAGCAGCATTTAACCCCAAAGCCAGATAAATATTTACCCCCACGGCCACCGGGAGGGCAAGTCACGAATACCCCCGAGTAACGGAAACACGAATTTCCACCGTTAGGCCGCCTTGGCCGGCTACTCCAGTACCTTTGAGTCCACTTACCCTTTCTTTACCACGAACAACATGATGGAGGGCAGGTTAGGGTCCTTAGATACGTACAGCATCGTTTACGAGGAATGAGCGCATGTCTTTGTGAGTGAGGATCAGGTTTTTCGGTCGCATACTTGCCGTGGGGATAATACTACAACAGACGGGACTTATCTGAAGACCCCTCGAGTCTCGACGGAGGAAATAGGATTCCTTGGACAATGGACTATGGATTAGCGCAGACTCAGGAGGTAGAAGCGTTGCAGGCGATTTACGGAGCCGATTTTGAAGAGCGTCCCGGGGTGTGGAATTGTCCCGCTTTTGCAATAAAAATTCGTCCTGTTAGCCTGATAGACGAAGGCGTCAATGCCTGGGTGACACTCGTTGTCAAGGTACGTCTTGAAACTTGATACAATAGGTTCTTTTCACTGTCGAAAAATACTCTGTCTCACGCATGATTTTTCCATTTCCGCTCCGACCATCCAGTATACGAAGACGTACCCTAGCACCGTCCCTACTTTGGAACTAAAAAATCGTCGTGGAATAAGTGAAGATGACCAGGAGGAGCTGCTGGAGTTACTTATCAAGCAAGCACAAGAACAAGTGGGGGAAGTCATGGTGTACGAACTCATCCTTCAAGCAGGTGGGGGCGGAGGAAGAGTCCGATGATGCTCATCCCTCCCTCAGTCCTGCCTCTCATCTTGCCAGGCTGTTGCCTCAATCTGCAGTCTCTGCATTGAAGAGGCAGGGACGTTGGCTTCTCTCTTTTCTGTGATGCATCGATGTTAAAAATAACCCGCTCTGCCCCGTCCTTCCCCGATGCTCTCCCGCCTCGCAGAAGACTTTCTCGTCCGGAAGACTCGGAAAGAATCCATATACGACGAGATGCAGCAGGTACGCGTACTCCCCCCCGTCCCGTTTGGATCTTCTACCCCCACATCCTCCCGCCCTTTTTATTCCTTTGCTTTCCGCAGCGGCAGGAGGCGGAGAGGCGCGAGCGAGAGGCCATCGAGCAGGCCGAAGCCCTGGCAGCCAGGGAGGAGGAGGAGGCTCGCATGGCCGCAGCACAGCAAGAGCGGCGAAGATACGAGCAAGTGGTGGCGGAGGAGGTGGCAAGAAGAAAGGGGAGGAGGGAGCGAAGGGAAGAAGAACGAGACCAAGGGGCGAGGCGGGAACGGGGAGGGGGAGAGAAGGCGTTAGGGGAGGAAGAGGAGGGATCGGCAGGTGGAGAGACGTCCGATGAGGAGGAGGAGGAGGAGGAAGGAGGGCTGGAGGGGGGGGTGGGTTTCGTGCGGGGCGGCTTGTCTTCATCACGGTACGAGAGTGATTTCAAGGAGATAGGAGTGCTGGGCCGAGGTGGAAGCGGCCAGGTGGTGAAAGTGCGGAACCGTCTGGACAAGCGTTTTTATGCGATCAAGAAAATTATTTTGGACCCGATGGATCGGGAGGTGAACAGGAGGTTGAGGCGGGAGGTGACGACGATCAGTCGGATGTACCACAAGAACATCGTCAGGTACTACCAAGCATGGGTGGAGGTGCGGCCGGAGGGGGAGGGGGAGGAGGAGGAGGATGAGGGTGGGAGGCGAGAAGAGAAATAGAGGAAGTGGAGGAGGAAGAAGAGGAAGAAAAAGAGGAAGGGAAGCAGGAATGGGGAAATGAAGAAGAAGAACAGGAAGAAGAAGAACAACGACAAGAGGAGGAGGAGGAGGAGGAGGAGGAGGAGGAGGAGGAGGAGGAGGAGGAGGAGGAGGAGGAGGAGGAGGAGGAGGAAGAG